AACAATGAATGAAGAGTATGAACATTGTCATTAAAAATAGTATTAGAATTTTTTATGGAAAATAAATAAAGACTGCGCTGGACTAAAAAAACCGGTGTTCCCTTCAAAAGCTATAACTGGATGTGACATCTGTAAGAGGTTGGGAAAAATGGAAAACAATCATAATTCTGCTCTTGGGTCTGCGAATGTATTTAGGCTCTTGTTCTGCTTTACAGCAGTAAAAGGGAGACTTACTGGGAGTGAATCATATGGTCTGTGATAGAAATATGGCTTGAAATACATGATAATTTGCCCACTCCCACATAAAAAAGAGAAAACCCTCTCTAAACGTCGAAGCAAAAAAGCCTAACCTGATTATAAACATAATATTTATTATACATTTAAGTTAAAATACTAAGATTATGTATGTCTGTGTTTTAAAAATTATTGGCTCACCAGCTACTGGTTCTTATCTTGTTGAATAAGGGAGATTTTTGTCTTGCGCAAATAAAATGAAGGACTACGCAGCTGTTAAACATTCCACTTTGGAATTGCATGTAATGGTGTGGGAAGGTGCTTATCATATGTATATAAACGAAAGCAGAGGGTGATAGAATGGAATGTCCAATATCAGTCCCTTCCTGTAACGTATGACAAATGGTAAGATAGTATTGCAGCCTATATTTATATTCTCTATTTACTTGTTTTTATCATTGTACAACAGAAATGTCTTGTATCTTAAAAGATAATTTTAAGTGAAAAAAACTTGCATTTTCCTTTTACAAGATTTCTTTAAAGCATTAATATACCTCTTGTAAAAAAAAATTCCTACTCTAAATTCTTTTTTGGTTGGCTTTTGAATATTGCCATGTCAAAAGTCACCCTCCTTTTTCTGTTTTGCTGCCCCACAAATTCTCAAATCAAACCTTTGATTCAGCAGAACTTAATAATTTTCTATCTCCAAATATACTTGACACCTTTTGTTTTTATACCTTTGTTCGTTTGCTGCTTGAACTATTTTTTTTTCTAACCTTATTCTAAGTAAATTTTACTCCCTAAATTTGGGTATTTTGTTTTTATACATTTGTTCGTTTGCTGCTTGAACTATTTTTTCCTAACCTCATTCTAAGTAAATTTTACTCCCCAAATTTGGGTAAAACAAACAAACAACCCCCCCCCCAAAAAAACCGATGTCTACCTTTATATCCTTAAGCACTAGATTTCTTAGTTGATCTTGATAATTAAAGCCATTGTCACATTTGTGTTACGTGGAGTGGATCCAGTCCAAGCCTCTTACGTGCTAGGCAAGTGCTCTAGCACCCAGCTTTACTCTGCCTTAGGCTTACTATCTTTACTTTGGTCGGCTGGCCGGCCGTTCTCAGACACCACTTCACACTTCTACATTGATTTTCCAGTTCTATTTTACACTCCTCGGTGTCAGGAGAGCTTGTGTTTCTTTCTCAAAACTCCTAGGGCGGAGTTCTGCACCAGGCAGGCGCTTGACAGCATATACATCGAGTAAGAAACTGTCTTGTTGGTTCTTTTGAAACTGAGTGTTGGAATTTTTCTTTACAAGTGGTCCTGGGTACAGGTTAACACTTGACCCATAATTACAGGGAATTAAAGAACCCCGACCATTCCATGTAATTGTCCACTGGTACAGATGGATGACAATTTTTTAAAAATTAAAACTATATTGGGTACTGGGCCCAAACTTAGTTTCACACGTGTGTTTTCCTTTCAAAATTTTACCAGAAACTTATTTTGGTTTTGGGCAATTTTTGTTCCCCTTAACATGCTGAAGGCACAGGTGTGCCTTACTGTCTTTTACAGCTGTTGCTCCTGGAGCCCAGAGAGCCAAATGCATGGGGGCTTGGTGGGACCACAGTCATTGCTCCACCTTTTGGAGAGTTGTACGTAAAGTGCTTTGCGTTCAAAATTTAATATTGTCTTCTGTTACTGGAAATAACTGTGTTATTTTTTTAAATGCCAGTATGACTAGAGCGTGCTTGTTTGGTCCACTATAGATGTGAGACTTACTGTCTAAAGAGTGTTTTATTTGAATTTACAGACGCTTGTCCTGACGAATGCAGCTGATGAGATACTTGCCGTTCTCTGCTCAAGGTAATCCATTCGTTACTTTTAAATCAAAATCTATGTAAAAAGACCGACTGACTCGTGCAAAGCAATATGATTCTAGACCCCCGACAAATGATCCTTTTAATAATTAAAATTTTATTAGTTCATAAAAATGAACTGATGTTCTTGGGTCAACTTAGAATTAGCTTGAATATTTTAATCGTGTAATATGTGTGTGTGTCGTTTTCCTGCTTTGGAGGGATTAGATTTGGTAAGTTTTAGGTGAGGTACTGGAATGTTAAATTCAATGTCGGCACATGCTTCTGCTTTATAAATCAGTGGCATGAAAGGTGAGAGAGCCTGAGAGATTAAAGGCTTCAAGCGCTTAATATTTGTGTGTGTGATGTTACACTCATTTGCTTTTATTTAATGAATGTTTTAACTAGATATTTAAGAAGTGGTTGAAACATTTGTTACTTTCTAATTTTCAAAGCTTAGTTTTATGTTCTAGGATTTGCTTAGCCTAAAAATTGTCTTATCTACAACTATAACTATGAGCTTTGTCTTGTTCTCTGGTTTTCAATTAATGAGGTGAATTAATGGGGAGAAAGATCTAGTTTTAAAATTTCACATATATTATTTCAGATGCTGGTTTAATTGATTTATTTTCACTATAAGTGTGAGAAGTCAGCAAAGCAAAGGTTCTCATTACAGAGTAATAGGTAAGTGAATGCTGTGAGGAATGTTGACTTGATAAAGCTTTTGCATTCTCATTAGTGTTGAGGCTGTAATTTCATTTTTCAACTGTTGGTTTTAATAGTTAAGCCTTTTACATTGTGGAATAATCCTACTCAGAAGTACTAATGTCACAGAGCCAGGTTTGGTGGCACAAGCCTGTAATCTCAGTGCTTGAGATGCTAAGGATTAGGAGTTGAAAGGTAGCCTGGGCAATACATTAAGACTGTTTTCACCTTCTCCGTGTAAATACAGCACATTGGATGATTCTGTTGTACTTTTTTTTTGTTTGTTTGTTTTGTTTTTTGAGACAGGGTTTCTCTGTGGCTTTGGAGGCTGTCCTGGAACTAGCTTTTGCAGAACAGGATGGTCTCGAACTCACAGAGATACACCTACCTCTGCCTCCCCAGTGCTGGGACTAAAGGCGTGCGCCACCACCTCGCCACCTGTTGTACATCTTTCAACAGGCAAAAATGTGTAAATAATTAAAATTAAACTTGAAAAATTTATTTGCAATTCTGTTTTCAGTTGTAACAAACCAGTGAGTACACTGCATTGCATTTACTAAAATAGCTGCAACTATGTATATATGGCTGCTAAGTGTGTGTGTGTGTGTGTGTGTGTGTGTGTGTGTGTGTGTGTGTGTGTGTGTGTGTGTGTTGCCAACAAATTAATTGGCTATGTATCAAGATTATCTAGGTTCTCAATTTCTCTTTTAGCAGAGTAAATGTAGATTTATTTAGAAAAGTAAGAAAGAACTCCCGAGGGTAGAAAGAGCTTCGAGAGGAATACCTTTTTATTTTATTTTGCAAAGCAGTAAGGGGTTTCATTTAGAAGTAAAGCATAAGTACAGAAGAGATACACTATAACCTTACAATGTAAGACTTACTCACAAGCCCCCTTTTTAAATAGCATGGAGAATCTTCAAAAATTCTGAGTCCTAGGCTCTAACTCAGTTCTACTGATTCGGAATTTGGGGAATGATTTTACCATTCAGCTTGATTTTGAACTTCGATATATTATGGAAGGCTTATAGTTTTTTTTTTTTTTTCAAAATATTCAAAATCTCTTAATGTACAAACACATATATAAATATTCCATTTTTAACTTTAAAAAACTTACTATCTCTGTGCTCTACACTGGTGCAAACTAAATTACAAAGAAAAAATATTTTGTCTGAGATCAAACACGAATAAGGTGTGGCTTGGACAGTCCGTGGGGCCACTAGCAGTGGGACCAGGATTTATCCCCAGTGCTTGAACTGATTTTCTGGGCCCATTCTCTCTGGAGGGATAGCTTGTGCAGCCTAGATACAGTGCGGAGGACTTCGGTCTTGCCTGGAAGTAAGGTGGGAAGGCTTATAGTTTTAGGTGGGTAAAAACTAGTAAAGCATTTATTTATTGATCAGGAAATCACAAAAATACTAGTAATAAAAATTCTCCCTATGTACATGGTTTATACATTTAGAAAAGTTTAGTGATTCAGAGGCCACTTTAGCTGCTCTTTATATTTTTAGCAACTCTGATAAATTATAATAGAAGCTTATGAGCTGAACTTAAACTGCCACATGGCATTTTTATTCATGTAGAGAATTAGATGCTCTCTATGATATCACAAGTTCAGAGTACCTGGAATTTTTGTTATAGGAACTCAGGAAAACAGTGTTTCAGGAGGGTTTAGTAAGTATATTAGAGTAGTCTTTAGAAATTATAGTAGTCTTTAGAAAGTGGTCTTTAGAAATCTAGTGCTTTATTATTTCATCTAGAATCATTTTCTAGTAACTCAGAGCTATAGAAAACTGCTAAGAACCTTCATTATCTTCAGATAACTGCAGCAAGCTGCTGTTTCTAGTGATGCATCCATTGACTCAGTAGCTCATGTCTGCTTTGTAATATTCTCCTCATCGATAGAAACGGGACTGGAGGAAGTTAGGCATGATGGTGCATGCTTATTAGTCCCATACTCAGGAAGTTGAGGCAGAAGGATTTCGATTTCCAGGCTTGTTTTGGATTACATAGTGAATTCTAGGTCAGCTTAAGGTATATAGTGAAATCCTGCCTCAAAAAATGAACAGAAATGATTTTGAGCTATTTTTCCTAATACTAATAAGGAATTACTGTTTACTATTATTAATTTTAATGTTTCTTTTTTTCTTTCTTTGTAGTTTGACCATTTGAGGCCAGTAGCCTCCTGACTGACTAGTTAAGATGCAGAAAAGACAAGGGTATTGCAGCTATTGCCGCGTGCAGTATCCTAACCTAGAACAGGTGAGAGGTTCCCACTGACCCGATAACAACACTTAGCATCTTAGTTATGAGTTTCTCTTTTACATTTTATTAAATTGGCTTATATATTCACCGAATGGATTTCATTGAGAATCTGCTGGTTTGCAAATTACTTGAGTATGAGAATATGACCATGAAAAAAAACCAATTTTTTTCATGGAGTTTACAGTATAGTTTAGTAAGATAGAAAACAAGTAATCATATAATTTTAAAACATATATCAAATTATGATTAGTTTTATGAGGAAAAGACAATGAGAGAGTGCTGCTTAAGTAGAGTGGTCAGGTAAGGGTTTTTTTTTTAAGTGACATTTGATTTGGCATTTGAAAGTTCAGTGCCAAGTTTGCATATATATGGAGGAAGACTTCTAGGCAGAGAAAACGCCCTGAAGGGGAAAATATTATGTTAACCGGAAGTCAAGAGGCCAGTATGACCCCATTGGAAGTTGGGCAATAAGGTGCAAAGTGGTAGGTGAAAAAGAAAGGGTAATAGATTCTGTAAAGCCCAGTAGGTTAGCTGGGTGTGGTGGCGCCTGCCTTTAATTCCAGCACAGAGAGATGGAGGCACACTGATCTCAGTGAGTTCAAGATTAGCCTGATTTACAGAGTGCTAGGCCAGCCAGAGCTATACAGGAGACCCTGTCTCAGAAAACATACAAACGTCCTTGTAGGTTAAAGTGAGAACACGGACTTTTATGCCAGTGAAGTGGCCATCAGAGCACTATGAAAAGGGTGACTGTATTATTGAACTCAGATTTTAGAAGGGTCATTCTGGATGCTGATGAGTAGAACAGTTGGTATGGGGATTCTTTCATATTTGTTTTGTTGCAATATAATTCTTTCATTATAAACTTCCCCACTTTAAAGTGAAATTCAAAGACCTTTAGTGTATGCACAAAGTGATATATTATCTAATTTTCATCTTTAAAAGGAAACCACATACCCACTGAACAGTCATTCTATACTTTCTTGGATCTCTAACCTCTGGAAACCACTAATCTACTTTCTGTTTCAAAAGATTTAACTATCCTGGATATTTCCCCCAAATGAAAGCATATGCTGTGTGATCTTTGTGTGTGACTTTCCATTTAGCATAATATATTCAAGGTTCATTCATATCATAGCATGTATTACTACCTCATTATGGCTGAATAATATTCCATTATAAAAGTAATACCACATTTTATTTATTCATTCAACAATTGATGGATGCTTAGGTTGTTTTTACTTTTTTTGGCTACCATGAATATTGTTTCTATGGATATTTGTGTATAATTTTTTGTGTGAACATACATTTTCAGTTCTCTTGGGTATATATGTAGGAGTGGAATTGTTGGGTCATATGATAACTTCTTTTTTGAGGAACTGCCTCACTGTTTTCCAAAGTGACTCTACTATTTTATGTTACCTCCAGCAATGCATGAGGGTTCCAGTTTCTCCTCATCCTTGCCAGCACCTATTTTTTTTCTTAATTATAGCCATTTTGTGGATGTGAAGTAATATCTCATTGTGACTTTGATTTGTATTCACCAGTGTCATTGAGCATGTTTTCATGTGATTATTGGCTGTATGTATACATTCTTTGGACAAATGCCTATTCAGATCCTATGTCCATGTTTTAGTTGGTTTGTCTTTTTCATTGAGGATCAGTGACTCATCAGTGGAGGAAAAGACTCATCAGTCTTTTTCATTTAAGCCTTTCTTATTAGCAGACCTTTATGAAATAATATGATTGTAATACTTTGTCCTATTCTGTGGCTTGTCTTTCTACTTTGTTGATAGCATGCTTTGATGTATAAACATTTTAAATTTTGCTAAGTGTGGTAATGCTTGCCTGAAATCCCACAATTTAGGAGGTGAAAACAGGAACATTGCAAGCAGGCCAGTTTGGGCTACATAGTGAGATCTGTCTCAAAAAAGTTTTAAATTCGTTTTATGTTCTTTTAAAAAAATTAGACAGTTCTTACTATGCAGTCCAGGATGGCCTCAGGCTTGAGGGGTCTTCCTCTTCCACCTCCTGAGTGCTGAGGTAGCAGGTACATTCCACTGCATCTTTCTTTGTCTTGTTCTTGATGAAGGATTGCCCAGCCAAACATCATGAAGACTTATGCCTGTATTGTCCTCTAATTCATAGTTGCTCTTATAATTAGGTCTTCTCTTCAGTTTGAATTAATTTTTTTTATAGATGAGAGATGGAATCCAGTTTCATTCTTTTGCTTGTGAAATCTAGTAATCAACTACACTCTGTTGAAAAGACTAGTCTTTCCTATTCAGTTATCATGTCTGTTGAAAAAATTCACTACTTAAAATAAGAGTTTATTTCCTTGTTCTCAGTTCTGTTCTATTAGGCTATATATGCATCATAATGCTAGTGCCACAGTTTAAAAAAACACATTTTAAACTGGCATACAATAATTGTATGTGTTTATCAGATAACTGTGTGACACTTCAGCACACGTATACAGTGTGTAATGATCAGATCATGGTAATTGGTCTGTCATCTCAGACATTTATTTCTTTGTACTGGGGTCATTCTCTCTGCTCTTTTGAAACACAGTTAATTGCTGTAAATCATAGTTAATATTCCTGTTCTGTAGAACATTAGAGGATATTGTACCTATTCACCTGTCCTGTACCCATTAACTATCCTCTTTCCATCCCCTGTCCTTCTCAAGCTTGGGTGACACTCTGTCCACTCATCCGTCGTGGACACCTGGAGTGATTCCCTTTTTGGCTGTCATGAATATTCTGTAGTAAACAGAAGAATGCAGATGTTGTCTTGGTATACGGATTTTATTTCCTTTAAATATGCATCAGTAGTGGGATTTTTCCATTGTAAGAAATTTTGTCCTGTTTTCTGTAATGGTTCTATGTTTAACAGTTTTATAGTAGTGACCCCTCCTTTGCCACATCCCATGAGAACGTGCCATATTAAAATCTGTTAGTAGCTCTTCTTACAGATATCTTGAGAAGATAGCTTATTGTCTTTATGTATATTCCTTGATGATTAGTGATATCAAACTTTTTCATATGTTGGTTTGCTGTTTGTATATTCTTTTAAATATGTCTATACACAGGTTATTTGCCCATTTTAAAAACAAATTATATTTTGCTGTTGAGTTGTTTGAGTCCCTTATATATTCTGGAATGAATCTTTTGGGTAGCTGGCTGTGGTGGCTCATGCCTTCTCAGCATTCAGGAAGTATAGAAGCAAGAGTATCAGGAGTTAAAGGCTAGCCTTAGCTACATAATGAGTTTGAGGTTAGGCAGAGATACATGAGATCATGTCTCAGAACACCACCATCACCACCACCACCACCACCACCACCACCTCCACCACCACCAGAAACCAATACTAAAGTAAGAATTATTTGCTGGTAAGTAGCTTGATGGATAAAACACATGCCACACAAATTTAAAGACTGGGTTTGAATCTCTAGAACCCTGTAAAGCAAGCCATGGCAGTGCGTTTCTGTACTCTCCATGCTTCCATGGCAAGATAGGAGGCAGAGACAGGGAATGATGTGTGCCAGTGAAAACTAATAGGCAGAGACCCTGTTTAAAACAAGGTGGAAGGGAAGAACTGGCACCTGAGATTATCCTCTGACTTCCATATGTGCACCATGGCATGTCCGTATCTCTTATGTTATCTTCTAGCAGTTTCATAGTTTTGGGTCTTACACTTAGTACTGTGTCTTAGTTATGGTTCCATTTCTGGGAAGACACACCATAACCAAGGCAACTCTTAGAAATGAAAGCATTTAATTGGGGGCTTGCTTATTTTAGAGTTAGTTCACCATCATCATGGTGGGGAAGTGATAGCAGGTGGCCATAGTGCTGGAGAAGTAGCTGAGAGCTTTACATCCTGATTCGCAGATAGTAGACAGACAGGCTGAACCTGTCGTGGACTTTTGAACCCTCGGTGCCCATCCCCGGTGACATACCTCTTCCCACAATGCTAACCTTCCTCCAGCAAGGTCAAACCTCCTTCCTACAAGGCCATCCCTCCTAATTCTTTTTTGTTTTGTTTTGAGGCAAGGTCTCAAGGCTATGTGTAGCCCTGGCTGTCCTGGAATTAACTCTGTAGATCAGGCTGTTCTCGAACTCAGAGTTTCATCTGCCTCTGAGTGCTGGGATTAAAGGTGTGTACAAGCACCACCTGGCTTTTTTTTTTTTTTTTGGCTAATCCTTCTAATCTTTCCCAAACAGTTCCTGGCACCAAGCACCCAATCATGGGAGTGTCCAGAGGCTATTCTCACTCATACCACCAAATAGTGTGATATATATATTTGCATTGATTTTTGTATGTATTAAGAGATTGAAGTCTAGTTTATTTACCAATATTCAATTCGTCGTCATCATTATTATTAATGAGACTATTAATGAGACAGGGTCTTACTATGTAGCTCTAGCTGTCTTGCAACTCACTATGTAGACCTTGTTCTCAGAACCGTCCACCTGCCGCTCCTCCTGAGTGCTTCAGACTAAAGGTTTGAGCCACCGTAACTCTTCTATGTATATAGATGTTGGAGTTTCCCAGTACCGTTTACTTGAGTTGATGCCTTCTACGCCCTCACTGGTCACCTGCCCTGATTGTTAGATCTAGATGGATAAATTAATTCCTTTGTTTTTTGTGCCCCTCCTCCCCCTATCATACTATTTTAGTTGCTATAGTTTTGTTTTTGTATTATGTTTTGAAGTTGCTATTATAATGGCTCCATCTTTATTCACTTTACTCAGTATTGCTATGGCTTTTAAGAACATTTTAGGTTCTATATGAAGTTAGAACCTAAATTCATGTGGTTGCTTTTTTTTTTTTCTTTTTTGTGTCTGTGAAGGTCATTGGTATTCTGATACAAATTGCAATTCAATCTTTAGATTATTATGGGTACTTTAACTCTGTTCTTCTAATCCATGAACATGAGCTGTCTTTTTGTTCTTTGTTATGTATATCCTTCCTAATTTCATTCTTTTCATATTTTG